ACAGAACAGACAAAAAAACAGATTGAAATGACTAGATTGGGTGAAAAAGGTCTGAAACAGATACATACGTGTTTCCAAGGACTGTGGGGGGGGGGGGGGGGAACGGGTCTGGAGACTCCTCAGCCAGTTACATAGGGATGTTGGAATCTACTGTCAGTCAATCCTTTAATCTCAGTCGGTAGTCCTTTCCATGGCTGCCCTCCCCCCATCCTCTCCTTCCAACCGCTACCTACAGACGTATCTCCAGGGATCTCGGGTGGGGAGGGAAGGGGTCTGGGAACTCCTCTGCAAGTCTCATGGGGATATTCGAGTCTATTGCCAGCCAGTCCTTGAAACGCAGGTGGTAGTCTCTTGGGATTTCTTATCCTAGTCTGTCCTCCCTTCCTTGTACTCCTTCCCAGTCACCGTTACAGCATACTTTCGCTACCCATCCTTCCCCCCCCCAGCCATTCCCTAGAAAATTGTAGTAACCGTTTCCGGATGTCTTTAGAGCTCTGGAGATTGTCAAGTGATTGCTAGTAGACTTCCACCTGTGCAAGAGTTCTAGCTGAAAGTGTGTTTTGAGTTGCTCCAGTCTCTCTTCTCCCTCTACCCGAACCTGGTCCAGAGTTAGGACACAACGTTGCCACCACAGGACCCATAGGATCGTTTTTCGGGGACAGGTGAAACATGTTTGACACAAAAGTGTTGTCTTGGATGGCCCGCCAATCCCATGGCCATGGATTGCCTGGAACTATTTGTTGTCACACTCTTTCCCGCCACCACCAAGTCAAGATTGTTGTTGGGCATTGCAGGAATACGTGTTCAATTGTCTCTGCTCTCTTTCTAGTCGGGAAACCCAACATACAACGAGAGCACCAAGGGAGCGCACGACCTTGTTATTCCACACGTGAGTGATCAATCAGCAGTCATTGGTAAGTAAGCACCAATGCAGGATCTGCCACTGTAAGGATGCAATTTTCGCCGGTCTGCACTTGGTGTCATAGAACCATCGTATAGGTGTAAGAAGTTGTCTCTCCACATTGAGGTGTTTCTGCCATCTGTTGATCACAACGTCTTTTAGGCCACGCTTAGTTCTGAGCATACGGTACGTCGCCTTCACCGAGAGCCCATACAATATTTTGGGTTTTGGTTGTCGCGGGTTGTGCCGTATATCGGAGTTCCGGATCCATTCCAGTGGGTCAATTGGGAGATGATCCAGGGCAATCTCAGGAAGGAAAGTCCGCCGGTTGTCTCCTTCCTCCATTACCCTGATGCGGTGTAGTTCCTCCTTCAAGGTCCATTGAAAGGGGTCCCAGATCCCTTCGAGACGGCCATTTTCTTTTGAGTTGTACCACTCGAGCAGCATAACGTCCGGTCGGACAAGGTGGACCAGACCTGCGTTATCGAAACTCCCTCCCTTGGATACCCAATCTCCCTCCTTCAACATCGGGCCTCTGTGAAGAATGGGCCACAATCCTATCGGGAGGGCCTCTGTTATTTCCTTAAGGGTCGATTCAACACTACGGCAGTATCTCAATTTCTCCCTCATCATCTTTGGGGTTTTCCAATCCTTTCTTTCCTCATCCCAAAGGTCGCCCACTCGAGTCACCCCATGCTTCACCCGCCCTTTCCATGGGACATCTGAGCTGCAAAAAATTTGGTCGTGTTCGTCGGTGATCCAACAGTTGCCGAAGAGGGGTTGCCTTGCCACCTCCTCCCACCTTTGTGGGGGCGGGGGATTCGGGGGGGGAAGCCTCCTCCAGATTTTTAACAGACAGGGCCAGAAGTCGTCTCTCCTACCCTCCCCTCCCCGGGGCAGTTGGGGTCAAGCCATATTTCCAGAAAGGCAGCTATGGCCTTTCTCCCGCTCTCCCTGTCCTGGGTCACTGCCAGAACCTCGGTGAGCTTCTTGCTGGCTTTAACCAGGTTTGTCGTATGACTTCCAGCAACTCTGCTTTGGCTTGGTGGAAGGCAAAGGCAGCATCTTGTCGCTCTGGAGAACACCTCAGTCGCCAGATTACCATGAGAGTTGCCAACCTCATGTGTTTGAACAGTTGGAAAGGTGTCGGGAGACTGCTGACGTGTTTCTGCGTTTCCCCATTAGGATTAGATCAATATCGCACTGGAATGCAGAGCAGCCCACCATTGCCACAAGCGAGGCGCCATTAGACATGCCTGCAGGCAGTGCTCGAGATCCGCCCTTGGTGCCTGGGCGTTCGGACCACGGTGAGCACATATTGGGGAGAGGACCCCGCCTGTGCCAGGTTGGATCTTGTTGTGATCCAATCCGGGGTTGGGAGGCAGCGGTGAGTTATTTGCCATTGAAGAGCTCAGTGGGAGGTAGGCATGATGTGAGCGTGAGTGGCCCATGGGATGTGGCGCGGGCATCCCTCACTTATTGGAGAGTCTCTTTTCCATCTGTTCTGCACCACTTTGGTGGATGAGTGGAAGGCCTATGCCCGTTTGTAACCTTCCTTGACTGAGTATTGCCATATCAGCACGGGGTTGGTGCCCTTCCATTCCCACACATCCGGGTCGAAAGGCATTCCCCCCCACAGGGGTGGATATTTCATTCGCATAATAGTCTGCGTCCTCGCACCCCACCACCCTGATTCTTACCAGCTCCTCTACTCGTGTCGTGCGGTCCAGGTCACGGTTTCTTTTGAGGGAGGCCCGTCTCGCCCCCGTCACAGCTGTTCATACACCTGCAGCTGCACCCTTTCTTGGGTGGCTTGTGAGACCCTGAAGATGACCATGGGGATGCTATTTGCGGTAGCCTATATAACCCAATCAAGGGGACTCAGTGACCGGTCAGCCTGTAATGTGGCCACCAATTGGGGTGGGATCGACATTTGCAGTTGCTGCAGTTTGGCATGGGATCTTTTGATGTATTTCAGGTTAGGCCACAGATGCTGGACCGTCTTCCATGTGCCCGCTCGACTGTCCGACAGCTCACCTAGGGTGTATATGCCTTTTTTTGTTTTTTTTTCCTTTTTTTCAACGACCACTACCTTTCTCATATGTGGGGCCGCGGGCCTCAAATTCAAATTCGGCCGCCACGCGCCGTTGATGAAAAATACCAATGGCGGCATGGCGGCTATTTTTCAGGAGTAGGCTACTAGATGCCCGCGGCCGACATATGGGAAAGGTCGTGGTGGTTTAGCACAACACACATATACATGCCCCATCTATTATGGCAAGCGTCAGTCCGGTAGCTTATCCCCAGCAAACATAGTACAGCGAAGTCACAGAAAAGACAGAACAGACAGCATAGGGGTTTTGGGAGGTCTCGGCCTGAGCAAGCACTCAGGACGCACGAGTCAGGTCTCAGCGCTGAAAAACTTGCCACTCGTCTCCCCAGGGGGAGATGTGGCCAGGAGGCATACCGCACCCAGATGCCACTTCCACCCCAGGAGCAGATCCGAGTCCCTGTAGATCAGTGTCCCTCCCCTTGCTCCCTCCCTGGAAGAGTCGTACCCGCCCCCCCTTCCGCCCTCTCCTCTCTATGCAACCTCTCCCCTCCTGATCAGGTTGTATATTGATTCTGTGCTGGTTCTATATTGGTTCTCTCCTTCCTCTTCACAGTCTCTCGATGAGCAGCATCAGTTCCCTTGCTCCTCTTAACCCCTTTTAATCACTTATTCCTATTCCCATTGTCCCCCCACTTTATTGATTCCATCAACATCACATTCCCCTTTTTCAAACACACACTACTTATTGACTTACCGTGAGGGCACGGGTGCGCAGCCCGTAGTTTGTATATGCTTGATTGATAAACGTGTACACACACACACACACACACACACACACACACACACACACACACAGAGAGAGAGAGAGAGAGAGAGAGAGAGAGAGAGAGAGAGAGAGAGAGNACACACACACACACACACACACACACACACAGAGAGAGAGAGAGAGAGAGAGAGAGAGAGAGAGAGAGAGAGAGAGAGAGAGAGAGAGAGAGATGGCATGCAGACAACGAGCAAAATGGGCACATTTGACTCACTCAATCGGCCGCTGAACGTGTGGGGCGTTGAATACGTCCACGTTCAGACACATCTGTTTGTACTTGCAAATGCAATGCACATGTGTCGTTTCAACCTGCGGCCAAGGCCGCGCCCTTTCCGATTCAGACTTTTCCACTTTTCCACCCTGCCGCTGCTTTGCCACCGTTTCGACCGAAACCCAGCGCGCAGTCCCATGGGTAGCTACCGGTCCCGCAATTTTCAAAGAAACTGCCACCCCCCCCCAAAGTTCCACCCTGCTGCTGCTTTGCCACCGTTTGGATCAAAACCAGCGCGCAGTCCCATGGGCAGCTACCGGTCCCGCATTTTTCAAAGAAACTGTCACCACCCCCAAAAGTGTCGTGCCTGCAACGACCAAACGGGCCCGAATCAACGACCGGTATAACGAAGGACAATGAAAATGCCTCAGGGGGGGAAAACACACCCCTGACGGGCTGTGAACACCCGCTTACATCTATTTACACCCACTCACCCCTCTCACATCTGCATTTGTCCTTCGGAGACGACCATCTCCCACTATTGCAGTCATCTCTCTGAGTGTTTCCGTGTCCCCTTTATTCCTTTGCACTTCCCAATGTTCCCTCGATGTGATCCTCCACGCCTGTATGCACACCTATTTGTATCATCCATGCTATTCCATTAGCGACCCTCCCCTGACCCACGTTAGCCGGTCGGAGTTTGCTGCGAGGGAGAATGACTGCCCTGTCGCATACGAAAGGGTTTCCGAACAACGGCTGCCGCCATAACTCCTGCCATCTTATCCTTATCCTTATCTTTAAATGAACATTCTAGCGAACTTTCTCAAATCAGACGTAGTGCTTGCAATGGTGAGGTTTTAGCTTCGAACCGACGATCATGTTCAACAGCTGCCTGGCCTGCTGGATTTGCTCGGGGTAAGAGAACCATGACCCTCACTTGTCTTTATCCTTCCTTATATCCTTCAACTGAACAGTCCAGCGAACTTCCTCAGGACACACGTAGCATTTGCAATCGATGTGAAGGCTTAGCATGGCACCGGCACTGGCTGGCTTGTTGGATTTTTTCGGGGTAAAAGCATCATCATGATCCCCATTTCTCCTTATCCTTATCCTTAAATTTATCGTTGTCTTTACCTTTGCATTTATTTGTTTGAGCCATATCGAAAGTATTCTCTCGACCTTCCCGACGAAGAGAAGGAGGAGGAGGTGGAGAAGGAGTGGGAGAAGGAAGAGGAGGAGCACGAGCAGCAAGAGCAGGGAGAGGAGCACGAGCAGTAGTTCGAATGCCAATGCCAGGCAGTTCCTCGTCCTCCTTCTCCTCTTCCTCCTCCTCCTCCTCAGAGGGCATGACCTCCTTCGTAAACAACTGGAAATCGTACAGCAACTGCTCCGCAGACCTTTCACTTAGTTTCCTTAGCCAATCTGCTACTTCTAGCTTGTGCCTCAATAGCACGAGTTCCTGTTCCAGGGTCTCGGACTTAGCACGCCATAGACGAGCTTCGTCTCCCTTTCTCTCTGCGTCGGCTCTCAAGCTCGCGGTCTCTTCCTCCCACCTCCTCCACTCTCTCTCCAACTGCGCTTTCTGAGTCAGAACCTCCTCTATGGCCTGCAGGCTAAGGTCCGAGTTCTTCACAACCACGCCAATGTGGGTCGTTCCTGGCATGCTGGAGAGAGAAGAATTGGGAGAGCAGGTGCTGATCATGGAAGAGCTGCTGGTCTGCCCGTTCTGATATTCAACTTGAGCTTGAGCTTGAACTTGAACCTGAACTTGAGTTTGGCTGCTAGTTGCAGTTAACTGACATGTCGTTGGGTTGGGGGAACTTGAGCTTGTTGAAAGCGACTTACGGATTTGTATTTGATCTCGTTGCTTCTCACTGGATAATGCTGCTGGTAGTTGTGACGATGACAATGATGATGTCGGATAAGATGGGATCCCGACCGTCGGATCATCATCAATTATAGGTTGCAGCCAGTAAAACTGAAGACCATCGCTAGCAATGCCTAGAGCTTTGACACAGTGCTCCTTGATCGACGGCATAAGATGACTCCAGTTTTGCAATCTCCAATCTTGACCGTTAAGATGTGATGAAGACGAGGGAACAGATGAAGCTTTGGCTGTGCGATTGAAAATCACATTCTTCCTGTCCAACCCCTCCTCCTCTCCTCCCTCTTGAATGAGCCCCACCTCCTTCTCCTGCTCTTCGTCCTCCTCCTCTTTGGTCTTAGCATCTTTGGCATCGTTGTCGAGATTGATCTTGCCCGCCTGATTGAAGGAGGCCGAGTCCCGTGCTAATCTTTGTGGATAACTTTGTGGAAAAGATGAAGGTCCCCAATCATCGCTAAGTTCTTTGGGGTCGGAGGGGACAAGCAGCTCCGCTCCACCATGGTGATCGGCACCAGTACCTTTCTGATGAAGATGATGCTCTATCCGAAATGCATGGGATAGTACGGATACGTCCGTTGATTGGGTAATTAGCCGCATGCTGACCAAATAAGGTAAGATAAGATAAGCAGATAAAATGAGATAAGATAAGAAAAGATAAATAAGTTAAGATAAGATAAGATAAGATAAGATCCAAGCTGCGTAGAGCTGGAAAAAAAAAAGAAAAAAAAGAAGTGAGGAAAATTGTCGTGCGGGGGGGTGATTCAATTGACAACAACAAGAATCAATCCAAGCTACTCGGAGCACGGGGTCATCATCATCTCTGTATTTGACCTGAAAAGTGCTTTGAATGCACAGATATGATGTGTAAAACCCATCGCGTTCAATCCAAAGCCCGATGAAAACAACCGACGAAGAGCAAAAAACATCCGAACTACCAAAAATGGAAAGCAACCCCCCCACTCTCCTACTGATAGCCGGATTTACTTGTCACCTTTCCCACAAAAAAAAAACTCAATCCACACAAGGATTTCCTCCAGCTGTTCCAAAAATGGGTCAGTGTACCACGAAAAGACACTTTGTGGGCGTCAACCCCAACCCCGGCCCCCACCCCGATCGCGACACGAAAGAGCCTTCCTGTACCTTGTGGATTTCTTCTTCTTGTTGTTCTCGTAGTCCTGTCACCCTCCTCCTCCATTCCTCCGTTCCTCCTCCTCCTCCTCCTCCTCCTCATCATCATCATCATCATCATCGTCTGGTTATGGATTCGAACCCTTGCAATAGGCTTCCACTTCCTCCTTTTTCTTTTAAAGACTGATCCTTTGTGGATATCCATTTGCTTCTATCAAATGCTCTTTCGTCACAAGTTTCGTGCAGACTGATTAGATTCTGTCAGATATCATCTCATCCTCACACTATGCATGAGTAGTTGAAGGTACTTGATAGGGTTATTTTGCGCATCTATTTTCATGGGGGAGGCTGTATGATGTGTGCCGTGCAGCTCTATCATCATTAACAACTTGCAATAGGCGTCACCACAGCAGTTGCAAGGAAAAAAAGAAAAAGAAAAAGAAAAAGAAAAAGAAAGAAAGAAAGAAAGAAAAAGGAAAAAAAAGAAAGAAGAAGGAAAAAGAAAAGGAGGAAGCAGCCTACCTCAGTTGGTTAGGCACGCAAGTGGCATTCAGGAGGTCGTGGGATCGATCTCCACAGACCACGTGCAGCACTCTTGGTGCCAACAACCTGAGGTAGTTGGCTTGCTTACTACAGGGGAGGGGCTCCACCTCATGAAGTAGGTTTGGAGACCTTGCGGCCCCTGAATGTGGAGCTCTTGAACATTGAATTTTTGCCTGGGGCACTGGGCCCTAATAAAAGGACAACCTTTGGTTAAAAAAAGAAAAGAAAAAAAGAGAGAGTTTGCTTGCTCCGCCCTTTCGGTATTGGTAGAGCCCTTGGCCATCACCGCGGCCCGCGGGTGTGCATGTTTGTATGTGGGTTGGGTGTGGTGTGTGGGAAAGTGCTGGCCATAGCCAGTGCTGCTACCCACTCGATGTGGGGTGGGGGAAGTAGATGGGAGGCACAGCTACTGGCAAAATGCCCGGTCTTTGCGTTAGCAGTGGCCCCCAGCCCCGGTGGCCCCACCCTACTCCCTGACCACTGCCGATTAGGGCGGCGGGCAATGTGCATGCCCTTGATTGTGAGAGGTAGAAAGCTATGCTTGCAGGGGTCCCCTGTATAGGCTTAGGAGTAGTGGTACGTAGGTACGAAAAAGTGAAATTGAGAGAAGAATATAGCATAGTTTTGTATTAAAAAAAAAAAAGAAAGAGGGGGGAAGAGAGAAGGGATGTGTTGTGCGCAATAGGGATTTTGTCATTTCGTTCAATTTGTAGTGTAGCTTTGGAATGGATTGTAACCTTTTCACATGATGTAAGGGACGCCGGACCCGTTTTCCGGCTTTTATAATTCGAAAGCGGCTGTCATATGAACCAGGCCGGAGTGCCTGGATCATACGACACTTTGGCTGTCAAAAAAAAAAA